CAGACAGGGTCTTATTCTATTGTTCAAGCTGGCCTAGAACTTACTATGTAGCCTAAGCTGCCCTCAAGCTTGCAGCAATCCTCCTGTGGGCCTCATGAGTGCTGGGACTACAGGTGGCCACGTCCATCTTTTCCCATTTTAGCTACAAAATCAGATGTAAATACTACAGGCCACTAAATAACCTAGTACAGATACTGGTTTTCTGATTTGGGTTTAATTTTACATTTCAAGCTTGACCAAGTATGCTCTCCGTATACCTGACTTATGAGTGCATAGAAAGGGAATGCTCAGCAGATTCAGGAAGAGGGATTTGCAATGAACCCTTCACTTCAGATAAGGGAGGACACAGATCACCAGGCAGAAAGCAAAGCTGCATCACCAGATACTGAAGACGTGTCTAGGGGAGTAACTGAGACCTGACTTTCTCCTAGCAATTTCTCTGCAGTGAAAAAAGAGTGGGGGAGAATTTAAGAAAAAATTTAAGCCACAGTCAGGATTCTATTCATATAATTCTAATCTGCACTGACGTCCTCAGCTTTGGATACTACACATGAGGAAATCTGGAAAAATTAACCTAAATTTTTTTTCTGTAGAATTTTATATTTTTATACTGTAACTATATAGTTCATCTAATGCTTCAAAATAGGCTATCCAGACATCAAACTGGAAATGCAAACATATTTAATCCATGCGAAGACTGAGATATTTGTACTCAAGACCTAATGGAATTTACTGATGTCCACTTAATTTTTGTTTTCTATATCAATTCCGTCTTGGGAGCAGTCATGGGATTTTGCCAAGAGCCACTGAGAATTACTTACAATGGACTGAGGACTAGGACAGGTAATGAGAAGGTGGGCTTGAAGCCTGGATGTCAGCAATCACCAAGCAAGGCTGCTAACAGCTCCAGGACTGGGGTCTACTTGGGCCTTTGGGGATCCAACTAGAAGATGCAAGCAGCATGGTCAAGGCTGTGTGGCCTGCACTGCACAGGATGGAGTTGTGGCACTGTAATGTCTGGTGGCTTAGTTTTGATTTGGTTAGCTCTCCTAACTGGCTCTTATTTTTAAGAGTTTGGACAGGGTACAGAATATAGCTCATTGGTAGAGCATAGGTTCAATTTCCAGTACTGGAAATGAAGGAAAGGAGGAAGGGAGATAGGGTGAGAGAGAGAGAAAGAGAGGGAGGGAGAAAGGGAGGGAGGGGGAGAGAAAGGGAAGGAGCAAGAGAAAGAAGGAAAGGAGAGAATGAGACTATGAGAAGAATTTGGGAAGAACTGGTAAACTGAAGTCACGTGTTTCTCCACATACTCCAGGAGTTCTGAGATACTGAAGTCACATTACAAGTATATGAATATAAAAAAAGTGTATGAATATATGTCAAAGCTGGGCATGGTAGCATAAGCCTTTAGTCCCAGTCAGGAGACAAAGGCAGGCAGATCTCTGAGATCTAGGCCAGCCTGGTCTACACAGCAAGTTCCAGGCCAGCTGGGGCTACAGGGAGACCCTGTCTCACGTAAAACAACAACAACAAATGCCTAGCTGTTATTTTACCACTATTGTGAGAATTAACCAGCAGTGTTACACAGCACATACAGTAGCTGTCAGTTTCTGTTCTCATTATCCAGACTGGATGACTATATCCATAATCAGGTGCTATGTTTGTGGCTTGTTTTTTAAACTTTTTTACATTTGTAAACTGAATTATGGGCCTGATGCCTGTTCCTGTACCCTAGATAAGAACCATGTGTCACTTCCAAGGGTAATATGTTCTGGGTTTTAGGACACTGAAGATGACTGCCATGCACTGTCCTGGTACTATCAACTGCAATATGACAAGTGAATCCTTAAATAGACATGTCTGTGGAGTCAAGTAGTTATTAACTAAGACTGGGAAAGAAAGGACAAAGGGAACCTGTCCCCCAGAAAACTAGATGACATAGATCTGTTTTGGCCATGTGAAAAAAAAAATGAGTCAGAGCAGTTAAAGTCTTAAAGCCAATAGCTCCTTCTTAATCTCAGATTCACTGCCTTGCTTAAAAATGTGGGAGTTCTTGGCTGGGCGTGAAAGGACAAAGGGAACCTGTCCCCCAGAAAACTGGATGACATAGATCTGTTTTGGCCATGTGAAAAAAAAAATGAGTCAGAGCAGGACTTTTCAGTTAAAGTCTTAAAGCCAATAGCTCCTTCTTAGTCTCAGATTCACTGCCTTGCTTAAAAATGTGGGAGTTCTTGGCTGGGCGTGGTGGCTCACGCCTTTAATCTCAGCACTCGGGAGGCAGAGGCAGGTGGATCTCTGTGAGGCCAGCCTGGTCTACATAGTGAGTTCCAGGTCAGCTGGGGCTGGGCTACAGGGAGACCCTGTCTCAAAAAGACCAAAAAAAAAAAATGTGGGAGTTCTTTATGTGGGGCCAGAAGTAAGGCTCCCCCAGAGTTCCTACCTTGGGAAAGCTCTTTTTTCTGGTTCACATGTCATTGTGTCTAGATAACAAAAAGGCCTCTGGCCTAGAACACTAGAGTCAGGATGCTCGTGCAAAGTCCAAGGCATGACTATGTTCTCCTACAGGCGCCTGCCATACCAAGGTATTCTTACTAACTGTGAATCACTTTAGATATGCCTGTAGCCAAGAATGGGCTGTAGAACAGCTGTTGCTTGAGGATTTTGTGAACAACAGTATAAAGGGCATCTGGCAATAAGAAAGAGAAACAGTGTCCTATACAGATAGAATGAGGCACTCTCAGAGCAGGCCTGAGAACCAACAGGGGAGTATTCTCACCTGGCAATGTGGCTACAGTCTGCTCTGCCCCATCTGTAGTTAAAAATCCAGGAAAACCTCACAACCCTCACTTTGAACATATGTGCACTCTACTTTCTCCCAGACAATAAGTTTGTAATTTGGACATCAGGGAAGCACATATTGACTTTTTTATTGGGGGGGGGGGGGTACCACAGCACACATGTGAACTGTGGTAGTTGGTTTTCTCCTTTCACCATGTAAGTCCTGGCAATAGAGCTCAGATCACTAGGCTTGGCAGCAAGTTCCTTTGCCTGACAAGTCATCTCACTAGACTCAACTTTCATGCTATTTTTGTTCCCAAACATATGGAGAATCTCAATCCATCCAAGATTTTCACAGTGCTCACAGGCAGTCACTATATATCACAATTTTCCAAGAATTTACAGATGAGATGACAAGATCCATATTCTAAAGTCTTGGCAGGGAACAAACCCTCCTGGGCCTAGCCACATAGCAGAGTCACTTCTCTACCTCTGCTTATAATATTGGAAATGCCTCCTTGTAATACAAACCTTTTTGATTATGAAAAAATAGGAAATCTCAGGGAAGGAATTATGAAGAGTCTATAGTGGAAATGGAGGTACTTAAAACTGTAAATCTGGGGCTGGAGAGATGGCTCAGCAGTTAAGAACACTGGTTGTTCTTGGAAAGAAGACCCAGGTTTGAATCCCAGCACCCACATGGCAGCTAACAACTGTCCGTAACTCCAGTCCCAGGGGATCCAACAGCCTCTTCTGACCTCTGCAGCATTGCACGACATGGTGCACTTACCTACATCCAGGCAACACACTCATACACATAAAATAAAAATAATAAATAAAAATTTTTAAGAACACTGTAAATCTGCCAGGCGTGGTGGCACACGCCTTTAATCCCAGCACTCGGGAGGCAGAGGCAGGCAGATCTCTATGAGTTCAAGGCCAGCCTGGTCTACATAGTGAGTTCCAGGACAGCTGGGGCTACAGGGAGACCCTGTCTCAAAAAAAAAAACAAAAAAAAAAAAACTGTAAATCTACATCAAAATGTACTCCTTTGACCTGGGATTTTACATCACATTGCCATTTCCCATAATGCCTCACGACAAAGTTTCTCAAGACTCTGAAACAGATTTCTGATACATTGTACAGAATAGAGATCCCCTCTGCCTTCCAAAAGCTCTCATGAGAAACCAAGGAAGCCTCAGAGACTGAATGGTGGATATGCCCTTATGCCACATAAATAAACATGCTAAAGACACAGAAATCCCTAGAACATGTCTGTAATCCCAGCTCAGAAGACTGAGGTGGAAGTCTCAAGAATTTGAAGTCAGCCTGAGCTACATAGTGACTTTCAAATCCTCCAGGACTATAGAGATTGAGCCCTTGTCTCAAGAAAGAAAGGGGAGAAGAAGAGAGAGGAGGAG